CACAAATCTCCCCGCGAAAAGTCAGAAAGCGGTGGAAAGTGTACAGCGCCACCAAGCACTTTAATTTACCCAAGTTTCACTTTTCACAACGCCAACATCACGTCTCTTAAAAGACTGAATAATTCCATGTAAGACCAACATTGTCTCTCAAACACACTGCGACCACTATAGAAGCCCCACAACATGAATATCTTTTCAGTAAAGGGCAGATTTATTGAGGATCTTCGGATTCAAGGTTAGTTTGTTGTTCAAACTCGGTATTTTAATGATATTCTGATGGTCAAAGCGAGCGCCAACACGAAGTTGGCATCACGGATAAATTGTTAATCACAGTTAAAATCGCCCAAACTGTGAACATTCAACTTTTGCAAAATAAAAAGTATATTGACGAAGCACATTTCCGTTCAAATTCATGCAAAGTATCATGTACGAACAATACAAGTTTTTCACTAAAATTCACTATGTTCACTAGGCATATACTTCGCTATATTAGTCTGGTTTCCAGACCACAAGTATCCGGCTAGCTGCTTCGAGAAAACTGAACATCTGATAGCCGCCATGGTCACGTGACAAAGACGGGAGGAATACCTCCCGTTTTTGAAAGGTTCCGAAATGGGCCAAGATTTTCCGATCCCATTTCTTTGATTGCGGGTAGTATCGTCAATATTCACATTATTGAGCCTGTATGACTTGTTTTCTTTTGCGGATTTCCCAACATACACCATTATTGCATCCTCGATTTTCCTTCGTATATTTTGCATATTGATCTCCACTTTTCCACAACTTTGGCTATGCTGACTGTTTTATGCTGACCGAAAATTGAATGGGGCCTCCTAATTATTACGTCATAATCTATTTTTACGGTCGAAAGCGACCTGTTTCATATTATTGATACAGCAGGAAAACAGCCCATAATTTCACAGCATTAATTCAATACAGTACACACCAAATCTTCTTTATTGTAAAACGGTATTCCTAGAGGTCTTTTGAAATTACTAAGGGTTACCACCATGCTTTGCAACCTCAATCTAATATAATTTCATTGTTTAATTCAGCTTTCTTTGTTGTTCTACCGAATTGAATCAAGGCATTGAATCTGAATGTTGTTACTCAATCTACACTCAAACTACACTTAATCGGTCACAAATAGCTCCTTTCGTTTCTTCACACGCATCTACATGTATTCGTTTTCTACGATCAGAACATATTGCCAATTTAACTTCTCTCTGATTTGGCGAAAGACCAAAGGAAATCAGGATTGCGAGTCCTCAGTCAACAGGCGGAGAATTTTGACGAAAGAATCTTCTCAAAGGCGAGCAATTACGAATCTCGTCTCATCGGCGCAATCAATTCGTGACTTGCAGTTATGTATCGATTCTTCCAAGACAATTTAATATCTCCATGCATGCCCACAGAAAGATCTTCCTGTAGTAAAGCTTTCCAAAACTACAGGTATTTCTTAATAGCTAAGGCCTGCAACATTTTGCATTCCATGCGCTAATGATGCCGTGGTTTGTGGCGTTAAGTTTCGATCTAGACAACACTGTTATCAAATCTATCCACCAAGTCATTCGCTGAAATTCGAATCCCTCGTGGCAAATTCGAGTTTGAACATTTTGTGGAGTCGTGACGCCATTTTGCGAGTGTCTAGCTAGGAGCGCGACTAGAAGACTCCTGTGAGGTCCAATAAGTCGGCAGGCGGATAAGACAAAGAATTTGTCTCGTTCTTGTTTTGAAGATCCATTTCGAGTTGCAAGCCTGAAGCTTAAATGCGCAGACAATATTGTCTTTCATTGACATGTCTGTCCCATTAAACTGTTCTAGATGCAGACGTTCTATTGCAGACTTTGTAATGGCAAGTTAAAGATGGAACAGTTTAATAAAATAAGGGTGCACCCGCAGAAATCTAATACACCATGGGCGCATCTAGAACCAGATTTTCGGGGGAGGGGTGTTCAACGGGGGCCTTTCAGGGGGTAAGGCTGAATGTGGGAGCATTTTACACGCTTCGGCGAGAGGGAAAATCAAGTTGTTACTCAACACCACATTTCATTATTTGCGGAAAGCATAGTCCCCCCCCCACCCAACAATGAATGTCACCGGGAAACTAACTCCGTGGCCGCGCCCTGGACTCCTATCGAAGAAGTATGGATATCTCAGGTTGAGATGGCTGGTGGTATAAATGTATTTACAGTTTAAGTCGTAGCTAAAAAAGACCTGTATGCGGGGAAAAAAGTGGTTTTTATAGTTCAATTTCAGCCGGCCACGATGGCAAATTAACAGAAAACATACATTGCCACTGGGATACTTTTTGTGAGAAGATGATATCTTGATCATATCAGATAGAGTGAAGCCCATGAATTTCTTTCTTTATCGTCCTCGCAAGAAAAATACCCCTTCGTGAATCCCAAATCTATGAGACAGCCGCAAAACCATCTTGGCGTTCAGTTTCTTACAAGCGTTTCAGCCAAGCTGAGTCTAGTTAATTAAGAATCCTACTGACAGGTTAAAAGGTCATTTCATGTGGCGCACCTCCATGCATAGTGCTGCGCTCAATTCCTTCAAAGATCAGATATATTTCAGGGGCGGATCCAGAACTAAATTTTCATGGGGGGGCTTGTTTTTCTTTTGCGGGAACAAATACATTCGGAATTTTATAAAGTAACCTTTTATGGCCTTTCTGAAGGGACATTTGGGGGCTTTTTACACGATTTTGGAAGGGAAAGTGATGAGATAGACCAACAGTCTTGTCTTTCTTTTTTCTAATAGGGAGGGGGTATGGCACCCAGTCACAGCATAAAATACATTGTGAAAAGGAGAAGGATACCCACACACTCCATCCGACTCAGTTGAATCACATCGTAATTACATGTACTTGTCATACTGCACTCGCGTACGGATGGAAAAACCTATCAAACCTGTGTGTCAAGACCGGCACCTCTCCTTGCAGACAGTGTCAAAAGGATTAATAGCCGGCATGCGCCCCAGAGACAGACCGCTAGCGCCAAGACTACCAAGGGGATGCCGAGGTGGCGATTAAGCTCGATGGTTGGAAACAAGTCTTACCAAAATAATAGTCCATTCCAGTGCAGTCGGGTTTGACCACACGAGATTCGGAATTACTTTTGGATATCTTTGAAGTATGATACTTGCTGCTTTAATATACGGATGGTATTATCAGAATGAGCAGGCTTCAAGACCCGGGTATCATATGCCTGGATGGAGAACTTCGATTTCAGAGTGAGATATTCATGAAGACAAGATACCCAAGGGAATTCCGGCTTTACAAGTTGGCTGTTTTAACATTGCCGACGTTCACAGAACAGCATTCTCCAAAGCGTTCACGTTGAAATAACGAACACAGTAGGCCTAGGCTATTCCTTACCAAAAAAACAATAAACTAAACCTTGAATTGAAAACATTGGTTTAGAGAGTGACCTTCCTAAAATTTTAAAAAGTTTCTGTACTTATGAGGGGTATTCATTGTAAATAACTTTAATTAAATGCTGTTGAAAAGTGATTAATGTATGATTGAAGACAGAGCTAAGGGAACTGCCTATTGATTCACACAGAAAGTTGGAAAAAAGCTCAAATATAACAACAGAACTTTATCTGAAACTCTCTCCACCTGCAATCTAAATTTCAAATAAAATGCCCAATGCCCATCATGTTAACAGTAAATATTTCCTGAAAAAGGTAATTTATTAACATATACATATATAAAATTTATAAAATCACATTGGAAATATAGAAAACATTTGGTTCTTAAAGTCAAGTACATGTACAAACAGTACGAATTATTGAAACTCACATTTCACAACCTGTCTTGAAAAAAAACTCCCTTTTCAAAATTCACAGATCTACAAAACTTTTCAGAAGTATTTTTAGCATTTGCAAAAATGTGGATCTACATTGTACCTTAATTTTTGGATTTTTGCCCTGTTCAGCGTGTATTTTAACACTGTATGCCCCCGAAGGCTTGTGAAAAAACCACAAGCCTATTCGTGTGGGACTTCTAACCCACGACCTCCTACTTACTGGTGCAGATGTCTTAACCACTCAACCATCGAGTGTGCTGGTGTCGGCTGGCTGGTTTGAATCAGATGTAGCAGCGGGTACCACAAACATCTATTTCAAGGATGGATTTGCGCCGGGGAGATGTTGCGCAGGGCAAAAAAATCCAAATTAATTTACATCTCCCCGGGCACAAATCCATACTTGAAAAACATTGTACCTCTCAAAACACTGATTTCCCATAGCACTGCACCAATGTGCATGAAAATCCTTCTGAAGGCAGGGGTGTAGCGACTGGGGGCTATAGGGATGCAGAACCCCCCCACAATAATTAATTAATGTCGGCAAAGAGTGCTTTAGTCAACAAACAAATCTAAAATTAATACAATGATATACGTTGGCTGTCGGCATTTCCCCGTAAGCATGAAATGAAGCATACCGGGGATTACTTTGTGAATTTTACACCACATGAGGGTGGCAAACAAGGTACACATGTAGGCCTACTAGTCGACAAATTGACTCTGGTACAGCCCCCCCCCCACGAAGAAAATGCCTTCACTACACAACTGTCTGAAGGCAAAATAAAATGTGATCATTGGTTCACTTTCATTTCTTTCCCAACCCAGCTCTAGATATTCAAGCCTGCACAGAATAGAAAAGACATTTCTTTTCTACTAACATCACACTCTCTTTGATTTTAAGTAATGCATAGATTTTTGTTTATCTCTTTCATATCTCATAACTAAATTCTCCTCAACAATGTGTAAAATATTTCCATTTTCCCTTCACTAAAAATTTGACCAACTTCAGAAGCAAGCAATCTAAATTTCCTTTTATATGATTAAATTTGATATTTTTTAACAAAAGTTCATACTGTACTTTCCATAGAGACGATTGAAAAAAAATGGGTCCCAATTCCTGAATTCAGAAAAGACAAAAATAACTTCTACAAATGGTTGCATGTCAACGGTTCCTAATCCACTTACCCAACTCTTCCATCAGCATTGCTTGGACGGATTCAACAAAACTTGAGCCTCTCCTGAAGTAAAGAGTTGGACGGCAGAATAATGGTAAAGTGCTCTGTGTGTCTTTAAAAGACATCTCTCATCCTCGATCACCTCCAGTAGCTAAATTACCTTGGGCTAGAGAAAATGGTGAGGTCTGGTTTTGGCTTGAAGTTTGGATGCTGGACGGATGCATTGTTCAGCATGTTGCTCAGATAATATCTCCACCGGTCGGTAACTAGATCTCCTAATCAGCAAAGGCTGGGTTGGCCTTGGTGTACTTGTACCTCTCCTGAGGCAGGTCCCTAGAAGGTTGTGGTTCTATCTCCTTGATCACCAGATTCTCCCATCAGCAAAGGCTGGGTTGGCCTTGGTGTACTTGTACCTCTCCTGAGGCAGGTCCCTAGAAGGTTGTGGTTCTATCTCCTTGATCACCAGATTCTCCAATCAGCAAAGGCTGGGTTGGCCTTGGCGTACTCGTGCCTCTCCTGAGAGGCTTGGTAGCAGGTCCCTAGAAGGTTGTGGTTCTATCTCCTTGATCACCAGATTCTCCCATCAGCAAAGGCTGGGTTGCCTTGGTGTACTCGTGCCTCTCCTGAGAGGCTTGGTAGCAGGTCCCTAGAAGTTGCGGTTCTATCTCCTTGATCACCAGATTCTCCCATCAGCATAGGCTGAGTTGCCTTGGCGTACTCGTGCCTCTCCTGAGAGGCTTGGTAGCAGGTCCCCAGAAGTTGCGGTTCTATCTCCTTGATCACCAGATTCTCCCATCAGCATAGGCTGGGTTGCCTTGGCGTACTCGTGCCTCTCCTGAGGCAGGTCCCTAGAAGTTGTGGTTCTATCTCCTTGATCACCAGATTCTCCCATCACCAAAGGCTGGGTTGGCCTTGGTGTACTCGTGCCTCTCCTGAGGCAGGTCCCTAGAAGTTGCGGTTCTATTTCCTTGATCCCCAGATTCTCCCATCAGCAAAGGCTGGGTTGGCCTTGGTGTACTTGTACCTCTCCTGAGGCAGGTCCTTAGAAGGTTGTGGTTCTATCTCCTTGATCACCAGATTCTCCCATCTGCAAAGGCTGGGTTGGCCTTGGCGTACTTGTGCCTCTCCTGAGAGGCTTGGTAGCAGGTCCCTAGGAGGTTGTGGTTCTATCTCCTTGATCACCAGATTCTCCCATCAGCATAGGCTGGGTTGGCCTTGGCGTACTCGTGCCTCTCCTGAGAGGCTTGGTAGCTTGATGCTAACAGGGCACGATGCTCTGCATTTTCCCTGGCTGCTTCTTGAGCCCTTGCCTCCAAATCCAGTCTACCAGAAAATATAGAAAAATATCATCCAAGTTTGAAAATCTCAAAAATGAAGGTTCAAATCAATCAAAATAAGGAAACCATGCAAAATTGCTGAAAGTCACGATATGCTGCAATAGATACTGAATACAAACATTATGCATTTTCAATTTGATTCACTGAAAGCAAGTGATTTTATCATTATGATTTCAAAGCTTTTAGCCACTCCTATGCAACAATCCTCATCAGTATCTCAAGAGACAAGCTGTCGATTCTAACCAAGCAACAAACCTTGCTTTTGTGGCGTCCTCTTCACTTACACCACCAACGACGACAGTTAACATGATAGCGGATATCATGTAAGGTTGGCTGAACATCAAGGCCTTCAAAGGAGTGGCATAAAAATGACATTTATTCTTCCAATCTGTGGTTGGAATCTTTATGAAAATGATAAGCAAGTCTGTAAAGAATAATCAATGGAAACAAGAACCTTCCTTCCATTTGAGATTACTTCGGTTTTCTTTGTAACATTCCAAAGTGTGACTCAAATATTTAACTCTGTTTTGCAAAGAGTCAAACTTCAACAGACTGGATCATGCACAATGGATCAGAAGTAGCTATTATTCTTAGTCATGAACGTTTAATTATCAAGGTCTATTTATTTCCTTGAAATTTGGAGTTTTTTTTTCATTTTATCTCAGCTTGAGGTCATAGCTGAATGGTCACACACCAGGTTGCATAAATCTGTGTTAGAAATTGGGGGGAGGGGATGACTTGCCTGGCCATGGAAATTTGAAAAGGGGAGGGCAACACCATATACACTATATAGGGGGAGATGTTCACCATAAAGGTGAACATCTGTAATGTGTATCAAATCGGAATGGTATATTTATGGCTTTTTAAAATTGCTTTCCCTTTTTAGTGAGAATAAAAACATTTTAGTCATAGGGAAATCATGAAAATTCACTACAATTCGCTTTGTTGGCCTATGCACACACCTTTCCTTCATGGAAGAACTCAAGAGCCTTGTAAACAGATAAATTGTCAGCCATCAACACCCATGCTATACCGTTGGGCTTTCTCAGAATGAAATCCTGAAGTGACAAGTTGGAAACACAGAGGGGAAAATTCATTTGAATTCAGCTAGTGCATGTATTTGGTGTAAACATTGAAACAAAAAAATTACAAATTATTTGAAAAACAGTTTGTTTGAAAATCCTGAAATCAGGAAAAACTCTGACAAATCTCACCCCAGGATCATAGGGATAAGCAGAGGAAAGACCGATCTGAAGCCAATGTCAAGTCTTGATTCAAAGCAAATTCCAAAGGGGTTTTTCCTTTAAGGAAAGTTCAAACATTGGGATGTCTCTGTTCCGAATGGACTGCTCTTTTCAGGAATACTGTCCTCGATCTTTGGAGAATTTAATTGCTGTGTTCCTGTCCTGTTCCTGAGGGGAATGGGCCACTTCCAACTTCCAAGTCAAGCGTGTCAAGGCATTTGGGAACACAGGTTGTAATCTGACTCTGCTAGTCTGCCTCTGACTCTAAGTCAACCTTGAGCTCATCAACCATAAGGCAACCTAGAAAGCCCTGTTAGCTCCTTGATTCATATCCTTCCCTCACGTCTCAAATCAACTCCATGGAAGTTTTACCTTCATGATGCAGACCTCCTGGATGAGACAGTCAGCCTCTGACTCCAAATCGCCCTCCAGCTTGCCAGCTGAAACGCCCCCTGGAAGGCCAGTCAGGTAAATGGCTCTCAAGCGATGCTCAGACACCTGGTATTAATTTACAAATAAGACAGCATTCGGGTTATAAATCAGGAATTACCCTGCTTTTCACACAAATTGATAAAAAAGAGATATTAAAATGTTACTATCACTTTTAATTTAAAGCTTTCAGATCTTGCAGAGCACTAATTCTCTCTTCTTACAGAACAAATGTTTACATTCAACATAAAAGCACGAAAGCAGAAATTTCTACCAACATGAACCTAAAAATGGCCTTTAAGGAAAATCTTCATTTCAAGACGTCCACTTTCCCCATTTTATAAGGTGTAAACACATTCTGTGTTTCACTTTGATGACTTCATTTAACCCAGATGCTCTGTCTCAGCGCTTGCTTGATTTTTCAAAATAAACATACAAAGTTTAGTTAAAAAACAGTTCATATTCCCACAAAGCTGGAAACCAAATGGTTGAGAAAATATCCAGGCTAGCAAATATCGACAATGAAAGACTATAAGACAATAAGACTTTGCCTACACAACATCAATATTAGGAGACAAAATTCATGACAAAGAGACAGGTTTTAAATATCTTTTCACATCACCTGGAAATGCGGGTAACTTAATATTGACCTCAAAGGGCTCTCTAATGAAATATTGAAAATGGAGACCAGGATTTCCTAGATTTCATCCATTGAGATCTGTTACCTGAAGCCAAGAAGGAACTGAAGGGTCCTTGGGTAGGCCAAGAACCTGACACCACTCGTCTGACGTCAAGCTACACTGGCTGACTGAACCATCTTGACATTCTGCCAGAAGGAAGACACCACTGTGAATGGGGACTTCAAGAGAGCATTCTATCAAGGGATCATCTTCCTGGTTGTCAGTATTACTTTGAAGAAGTGGATGGGTGTTGTCTTTATGATGCTGTTTGAAATCTTCATGTCATTTCACAGTAGTGTAAGCAGTTTTCACGGAACAAATGCAAACTGATCTGTTTTGGCATCACTTTTCAAATGAACTATTATATTAATAAGAATACAAATTATCCATGTAACCTTCAGTACAGAATGTGCCGTTAATACAGTGACATCGTTCTAATTACAGTAAATGAAAATGCCCAAACCGTCAAAGACAAATGAAGTGTAACCCATATCAGATACACAATTTCTTGTATGCAGCAATTACTTCACTTCACTGCATCACTTCACTGTCTGCATCTTGGCTTCTTCTTCATTTGCTTGTTTTATTTTTCTTACCTTCTATGTGATCTCTCACACTGTCAGAGTTATGCCATAATTATATTCAACAAAAAATCAAATCAAAGTCAAGTCACGAACTCCAAGGAATTAAATGAACACAGCAGGTCAACTTTCAGCCAATCAAAGCATTTCATACCTGACACTGGCGATCCCTTCAGCCAGTCAGCAATCTCCAGTGTATGCTGCAGTGCCAACCAGGGTCGTTGAACCGTGGCGTAGTCTGTCTTGACTGTCAGACTGTCCAGTACTTGACCAGTCTCCCCAGATCCCCCCAGTCCCATCAGATTGATAGTCAACCCCTCAGGGTGGTGAGGTAAGTCAGATGAACCAAACCTTACAGTATCATCCTCCTCAACTATCTTATAACCTACAATGTCAATAATAGGTAGTTGGGTTTGGGTTAGACAAGTGCGTAAAAGATAACCATCCTCATTTTGCAAATATCAGGCGTTAGTCGTCTCAACTTGTCTCTGGCTTTACTTACTCTAGAATCCGTGTCAGACGTTGGGCATGATGTGAATTTCTCAAAAGGCTACCTCAACACATAAAACAATGTCATCTTTTTGCAACAGAAAAAAATTGGCACATAAGGTGTATCTTTCAAGTTGATAGGGAACTTTATCATGAAAGTAGTTTGGGATTAAACTGTAGGGGTCTGGAATAGGTACACTGTTTATCTCAAGAACATGCCCCTCTCCCATTGTTTCATGTGTGTACTTGCTGCTAGTACAGTGGAAATAATCCCACAACTGTTCGGTGCAGGAGTGGTGATGGACATGAAACGGTTGTATAGAAGAAGTAGCACAGTGTTATGTAATGCTTCCTGGAAGGCAGTGTGGGCCATGTGTGGAGTCTTTGTTCCTAGTCACTCTGACTCCATGCTTTGTTGAAGTAACATCGACCCCAACACATGTCTTATAACTTTGCCTGCGTGTTTCCATCTTTTACAGTTTGGAGTTAAAATTTTAATGTGCACCCTCACGGTGACAGGGGTGTAACAAAACCTGAAGTTTGAGAAAACTCATGTTTCATTTCTTTCACCTGAAGTCAGACTTTGGAACTTTGAAATGCACTAGGTTTATGTATTTGCTGGTCACTATAACTACCCATTTATGATAATGGCATAAATTGCATTTCAAAGGTTGGTAAAGAGAACCCTACAGAGGCATCTTTCTGCCCTAAAAAAGTGAAACCTCATTTGGCTTTTTGTTTATGTAATTTTAATGCCATTAGTGCACTAATTAATAAAATTACAAAACATTCCTCACCCAACTTCTCTGACACCAAGCTGAGTACTTCTGCTATGTCACTTTCATCAATTTGGGAATCTTGACTGCATAGATCAAGAACTCTTAGGCTTGAAGAATCCATGGGACACAAGGAGGCCAGTATTGTCTTTAAATTATTCCCACTAAGGGCATTGTGCCCTAACAACAAGGAATGAAGGTCGGGTGCTGAGCTGATCAACTTGGAAACAGTTTCTGCACACCCATCACTTAGCTGAAATTAAATGCAGAGATGACACATGAAAACAGCATGCAAACGGCCATCTTCACGAAACATTGACTCTTCATACCAAAAAGCAAATACCAGCTTTTCAAAACAATGAAGTTTGTGAACATTATTCAAAATCACATGAATACTTTCATCAAACAGAGAGAAAAATTACAAACCCTTAAAATAATGAGGCCAAATAATAAGCCATTTCTTGTTTTTGCCATTGAGAAAAATTACACATTTAGTGACAGGTCCAACAGGCGGAAATGAGCCATACCTTTAACCGTGACTGCAGTTATAATCTAACATCAAACAGAAGCCATGGAAACTTGTCAAGCTAAGGTATGATCCTACCACAGCAGAAATCTAGGGCAAATCTATTACCAGGCTCAATCAGTGTTATATTCAAGTCTTTTACAAGTCTCTGCAAGTCCCTGTAAGTCCATCACAAGTCATTCAGTCTTGAGCCAATTCGCAAGCTGTGACAAAAGCATTCTTTTGTTATTGTTTACCCTGTTACCTATGACTGACCTTGTGAAGGAACATGTGATTGAACTTGTGAGGGGCTTGTGATGGACACTGACCTCAATGCTAGCCCAAACTCACCCGATTGTTGGCAAAATTCAACTCCGACAGCGAACATTCACTACCTCTTGCTAAAAAAGCCTCTAGCAGGCCAACTGCTCCGGTATCTGTAAGCCTATTGGCTGATAGTTTGAGGGTTTGAATGGCCAGACCCTCGCTGACAGCTTTTGTGATTGGTGCAAGGTCAAAGTCTTGTAGAGCACAGCCAGCCAATGAGAGCGACTCTATGCTACATGATGAGCCTGGCCAAGTCAATAATGAAGCAAGAAAGTAGAAAGTAATCTGGATGTCTGAGGATTAATTTCACTATCATGTTTTTGTTATAAAGAAAAATAATTTATTGACTTTGTTGTGCAGAAGGAAAAGTTAGTAAGGCATTAAATTGTAACTCTCGGGGTATTCTTGCTAAGACCCTTCCTAATCCTCTGAAATCCTTCACTCGGCAATATCCTTGGAATTAAACTCTCAAGGGGCATCAAGCCCCTATGGTGGTAACAGCAGCATGACTGTACTTTCCCAAAACCGTTAGTACAGTTCCAATGCACGTGGTGGATTTGGAAGCTGTGGGAAGGACATGGGTTCAATGATACTCTGTTAAAATCTTAATTGAGAAGTAAAGTAACATTCACACTAACTGACCAAAATGTCAAGCCTTGTGGAAGGTGACAGGAATTGACCTCTTCAGTCAAGAAGGACCCAGGATTGTTAGACAAAAGAGGAGTGATTACTGCAGATTTGGGATCTTTAGGTTTAAAAACCAGTTCCAACTTTGCCCCATGGACTTGGTACATAAATGCAACTTGTTTTAAATGGCATTATTGATAGTAATCGCAGACTTCTTAAAGCAACAAATGCAAAGGAAGAAATTCTTGCTCATTCAGCAAAATATGAAAACTCCCATCAGTTTTGTGTCACAACCAATGTAGCATTGAGGGTTAACGCCTGGCTTGACATCGCAGTTTCATACCTGCCAACATTGGAAAGTCAAAAATAGGAACAAATCTGCAAGTGCAAAGTGTGAAGCCTTTACAGTGTGGTGTCTGGGGCCCGCTTAAGGGCCCTAGAAAATTTTGGATTTTAGATGCTCTGCAGTGCAATTTGAGGCAATTCCTGGCACATTTTCCTTACTTTTGGGAGAAACGATTTTTAAAATTTAAAGGAGAATTCCCTTGTCATTGTCAACTCTTCCCATACCTTGAGTTAAATACTTTCTTTAAACAAAACATATCTACATTTCAATTTCCTTTGGAACTTGATGACGGTTCCCTCTCTGCATCCCCATGGAGTGACTTCATTGCATTCCAGAGTGCAACATCACTGTATTTACTTGAGAAGCATTTTATGCCTCTATTCTGCATGGATAGTTTGAGTGTCATTAAAGATCCTAGTGTGCTTGTGGGCATGCATGCCCATTGTTTGGTTTTATTCTTCCCTACTACAGAGAAGATACGCTCGCAATCTGCATCGTTGTGTAAGATGATTAGCATGCTCTTTATAACAGGGGAAAGAAGCTTGTACTTCTGTTGCATCCAGGATGGGTCCTCAATCTGTGCTATGAAGTGCCACTTCTGATCTATATGATCGTTCAAGTCTATGCACTCTAGCTTGTCTATTTGATACATGTTGAATTCAGATTTTAACTTGTCCACAGACTCCCTGGGTACTACTAGATCGAATTGCTCTACAAAATATTCCACAGAGCTGAATTTCACCTTCCGCATGAATTACTGACAGATGTCTGGAGGAAAGAGGTAAGTTTTTTTGACATTCCAACGGCGATTTCAGCTTGCACATTCCTTTTGTGCTTTTCTTTACTCATGTGAATCTTAATGTCATTTGCTCCTATGGCAGAGATCCGTAAATCACATCTGCAAATCTTGCAGAATGTGAAAAACTCACCCTTATGTGATGTCGTTATGAATTGGAACTGGTCTTTGTATTCGTTCCTAAATCGTTGCAAGCGTTTTAGCTTCTTATCCTTCTCCATATCGCTCTACAAACTCATTAATTCCCTCAACAATTCTCTATTTGAGCCGAGGTTACACCACCTGACATGCCTGATCACCACTACATGCGTGCAATGAATTCGGAAGTCACATGTAAGACGTGAGCGATGCGCTGTCGCTACACAAAATGGCGACCGCGCCGATGAAAAAAAAACCAATAGCACCCTCTTTTTTCCTGTACATTAGAGCCAGGACTTTTTCTTTTGCCGTGACTCTTTATGATTTTTATTATTTTTTTCAATTCCGATTAAATCATGACAGTTGGCAGGTATGCAATTTTGCTCATGAATATGCATATTCTCATTGGCAAAAAAAAACCCAAAAAAGGCTCCAAAAGACAAATTAAAATCACAAACCAAAAATGGCAAATTGACTCACAAAGATGCAATTTCAAGGGATGTGGTAACAGAATTGAATTAGATGGTCCATTTAAATGAAGTCATGACAAACCTGGATTTAGTAGTTCCTCCAAGGCCTCTGACCTAGACAGCTTTAATCCATCCAGACATAGATTAGTCAGGCCAGATGGTCTCTTACACAATGGCTTCAAGCCACCAACCTCTGAAGGGGTCATCTTGGCCCGCCGTAGATCAAGGCTTCTCAGGTTAGCCCTGATGTCTGCAGATTCTTGTAAGATGTCAGGAAGACTGGCGATACTGAGGGATCCTAGGTGAATGGTTTGTAAAGTTGTTCCTTGATCCTCTGTGGAAATTTAACAAATATTGAGAAGACTGTGGAATCACTGTAATCATATCAATTTGATTTGGAATTTTGAATAGACAAATCGTCATCAACACCACGAATTGAGCAGTTTTGGTTTCACAAAGTGACACAAATGTGTGCCCGCGCATATTGTACACTCGTGCATTATCGAACAATTTCGTTTTCACGAAGAACCACAAATGTGTGTTTTGTGAATATAGCATAGAAAAAAAAGCTTTAAATGTCTAAAATGATTTTATTTTACCAGTAAAAAGGTGACTAAACTGAAAAAAATGCTCTTAAAACTCATAACTGTGTAAATTAAGGAGAATGTCAATTTCTAAATATGGCAAATCACGGAGCAAGACGCAAGACATTTGTGCCTCTCCGTGAAAACGAAAGTATCACATTTCTATAAAATACGCGTTGAAGCGCGCACACATCAATAGATCTGTGTTACTTCGCGGTGTTGGTGACGAAATGCCGCATTGAGATTTTTGGATCAAAACAAATACAGGAGATGTAAATGATGATTTCTTAAACAAGTTTCTTTTTTCAACAGAAATAAAACGTGAATGGATTATCTTCATTACAAATATTTAACAATTCTCAACATTTAAGAAAGAAATTTCTTCCAGAGACTTACTTCCTCCTGTGAGAGTGATAAAAACTGGCAGGGCCTCTGCTGTCACAGCAGGATTTCCAGTCAGATCCAGTTCAGACAGGTTTGGTAAGGATCCAGGAAGCTGATTGGCTAAAGTTTTGATGATGTCATCACTGAGTGAACAGTTGGCCATGCTCAGTAAAGTCAATTGGCTCCTTGTGCTGCACTCAACAGAAATGTCTGTTCCAAGAAAAAATTGAAAGGGAAAATTATTGATTTATCTCCTTATTTGCATTCATTCTTTTGCAAATTGAAATACATGTAAAAAGTAACATTCAAAAAAACTGAACTGAACTGCAGCCTTAAAATTAACTTGTTTGGCCTAATTCAAGGCAACAGATTCCTAATTACAAAGTTATCATTTCTCAAAGAACAGTTTCAAAATATATACACTCAATTAAATTTATTGCCCTCAAATTAATTTCTGAACATACCGGTACTCGGTACAGTCGGTTCCTGACTGGTAAGCCCAGTGTCACTGATATTACAAACAGTCAAAGCAGGATGTCTAATGCACGATGTAAGTAGACTGATCATTCCAGAAAGGTTCATCACCTATGTGTGATTGATCAATGAAAACAGACAAGTACTATGCAATACTGTCTGATATACAGTTACGGACATAGTTTGGATTGAAAGTGATTGGCACTCTGCTACATGTTTACAGCCTAAAAAGGTTAAAACAGCACAGCTGTACAACAGCCAGAAGACAGATGTTACAATCTGGTAGATTATTCAAAATGAACAGTGCATTTAAGACTGGCCCAGGAGAATGGATGTGACTAATGCCAGAGCTGCAGGTGAGGGCATTAGTCGCATCCATTCCCCTGAGACGGTCTTAAGCGTCAGTTTAAGACCGACCAAGCACATATTTATTCCCATTCATTAATACCATTTTATTATTATTTAGTCAGAGAGTCAAGGGAAATCAATAAACGATAAATTTCCAAGCATTTTGTCAAAGAATTGACTCTTATTTTCCCAAACACCCACGTCCAGTTAATGGTATATTCCTTGTGCAAGTAGTCCAGAAGAATCTCCTTATATGGACTTGGTGCCCTCGTGGCGCGTCACATGCACATAGACTCCTGACCAATCAGACCTGATTAAACTGTCTTGTTTCCATGTGCCAGCGTGTGATTGACGCAGCGGGCATGATCTCATCTCAAATGTTAATACACGGTCATGTGAAGCATTTCGACCCAAAGGAATGGAAAAAGTGCTCCAAGTATTTATGAATAGCATTTAAGCAAGCAATGACAAGCTATTAACCACTTCGTGCCGCGGCATTTTTCAACGTTGAGGATGCT